TGAAGTCCAGAGATCCCTTTCAAATGCAATTGTTCTCAGTTCTCTGAAAGATCCTTTTCCAAGACAAAATTTAGGGATGAAAGGATGCTATCAGTGTATTTTTGCAAGCATGGATTTTTGGGACTCTAAGTATTTTCACTTATTACAGTTGGACAATGCTGAGAAAATCTGGGAAATACTGCACATGTGTAGGAAGATTACTGTACAGACCAGAAACAAATAAACCTGGAGTTATAGCAGTGAGAAAATTTTGTGCGTTGTTATGTAAAAACCTGGGGACAATAAGCATTTTGAAGGAATAAACTGATCAGATGAGGGTGTATTATCTGACTGCTGCCCCACTAGGCCAACAGTGCCAGTACAGCCATGGCAAAGGCAGATACAGTTCTAAATTGAAGATGTGGTTCTAAGATGACTGACAGCCACCTCCAGTAGCCATTATCAGGAAAGATGAGTTCAAACACAAATAAGTTCATCAAGTAGTCGGGGAAAGGAGAGATTATTTTCCTGAAAGGACTTGACTTACTTAGTTTAGGAAGATTAAACTGAAAACCAAAATGTTTAATGATTTTTAAGTACATCAAGGTGGTAAACATCATGATAGAAGAAAGCCTATTTAAGGTACAGGATATGATGTTAGGCCCAGAACATCTGGGTATAAGGTTAGTAAACACTGAAGAAAGTTACAAACCACCACAGCATTCAAGTTATGAAATAGTTTTCCAGCAGGAGTAATAGTCCTTAAAAATTTTCTAGGCCTTGGCTGATGCTTGATCTGCTGTTAAAATAAATTATTTGATATGCTGTGGGGACAGCAGAGGACAAGAGTTGATGACTTTGGATCATAAGACTGGAAAGGACATTGTCTTTCTAGAAATATAAGCAGAGCAGTTTGATGAAAAGCTGCAGTAAATCACTCTGATTCTTAAATACCATTAATATTAAAGAGTTGTTATTTCTCTAAAGGATCTAGGACATCTTGAAATGTGAGTCACTGAGAAAAGTAAGAGGCATTTATTAACAAGAAGGCTTAGACTCAGGGACTGTCTGCTCCAGCTTCCATATGGTTGTCATGGCCTTCTACCATGAGGAGTTGCATGGTAAATGGTTATGTTCTGCCTTGGCCTAAGGGAAAGGTGCCTTCAGCTGAAAAATTGCTCTGGTTGCTGGTTTTGACAGAAAGCAGACTGTATACAGGAATCCCTTTATATGAAGGACAAACTGCATCTGAATTAGACCTGATTTAATAGTTGGCTCTGCTTTTCCGTTTAAAGCTATTAGAAGAGTCCCATCCTGCGAAGAAGACAGTGAGCCCTATTGTATGTTTTTGCATCTGAGGAAAGCAAAGACGTGTTTGAACACAACAGAAGAAATGTCTGCATTTGGCTTGTTTTCATTTAGTCTAAGCTCTGGGCATCTTTCAGAAATTATTTTAAATATTGCATTGAAAGTTTCTCTAAACTTAACTGCTCTGTGCTCATGTACATCTCTTGTTTGCAAGGATGACCTTCACATTTCCTGAAGGAAAATCTCAGTTCTCTATCTGAACACACAAAGAATTCTTGTTTTGATACAAAATAAAATAAACCTATACCATGGCTGACTGAAAATATGTAACTGTACTGGTTTTGAAGCAGCAGTTTCATGGATAAAAATCAAAACCCTTGTTCTATGCAAAATACTACAGTAATAGTCCTAAAATAATAATTTACAATAGCTCTGCTTAAGAGTTTGAAGCTGCTGCTGTGAAATAGTGTAACTTATTTTTTATATATAAATACCTATGTTATTTATTTGTGGTAGCACTGAAGCCATCTTTGAAAGAAGGAAGCCTAGAATACAAATATGTACAAAATGTTAATCTGACATATTTGAAGTGTCATCTGAACAAAACAGTGTAATACAAGATTTTGATAAGGAATGTGGTGATGTCTTCAACAGGATTAAATTATATTTATTTTCCTTTCAGAATAAATTATAAATGTCACAGTTCTGCACAGCTGAAAAGACTGAATTAATTAGCCTGTCACCTGAGAGCTTTCGCCCTTTCTGGAAGGGAATGAAGTGCTTTGAAAGAGCACTGGAAAGGGCCCTCATCCTACTTGACCTTTCCAGAGATGCAGCAGACAGATCGATAGGGAAGTGACTGCAATGAGCTGGCACCTTGCAGAGAGGGTATACTTCAGGAGTGCTGAAACAGGTTAAAAAACATGGAGGTTGACTGCTTTGTTTTATGAAGAGGCTCTCCTATCTTTTTGGTTAAGGCTAAGGTAACTTCCAACCACTTTGTCTGTCCCTTGACTTATGTTTTTTTTTTAAATTGTCTGTATTTTTATCAAAATCAAACCCTTCTCCATTCTAAAACATTGGTGGTGTGAATTTATGATAGCTAATCTTGGGGGGTGAATGACCTGAGGCACTTTAAAATGACTGTCTGAGGTAGAGTTTTAAAAATAAACTGGACTTTCCATAGCTGTCTTTTTTGGCTCAAAATCAAAGGCATGTAGCATCACCATAGAAACCTCAAAGGTGACCTCACTGATGTTGGTAAGAATTGGTGATGACTACAAGCACATCCAATCAGAGTAGTTCATACACTGCTGCAAAGTTGCTGCTCTCTGTGGGATATTGATGCAGCCGTTTGTTCCTGTGATCCTTGGTCAGCTGGTTCCTTGCGGGTAGAGTGTGGAAGAGTACAGAGAGGGGAAATCATTGTGGCTGAAAGTGCATGTGCTAAATTCTTGATTTGAGGGTGATTTCCACCAAATAAATCTTCTCTCTGAGACCTGTTATGCAACATTTGTCTTTTAATGTTGAAGCCCAGTTGTGAGGAGTGATGCAAAATAGCAAATATTATGTTGGTTGAGAGCGTGCCACCTGAGACAGTGCTTCTGAATCCCTTCTGACAAGCTTTCATGTAGTGAAGGTTTTTAAGTATTTAGTTATGGGGAAGAGGGAATCCTATTTTCAGAGCCTGCCCTGCCTTCTTCACTTGTTTCCCAACAAGCACATTATATATAAAGTTCTGATTTAATTTTTTGCTGCAATCTTAGGCTCTGAACAACTAACAAAGTTTAAAAAGCATCAAGAGCTGTATGGCGAAACTAAGTAATTATGTTGATGATAGCAGCCAAACCAGGTGTGTTTTTCCTAATCACTCCAAAAAGAGACATGAATACAAAAAATGAGTTAATAAGGAACCTTTGCAATGTTTATTGGATTTTTGTTCAACATCAGAAATACCTAACTTGTAGTCACCACCTTTCTAAAATTAAGTCTTCCAGCAGCTCAGAAACGTGTGTCTGCTGAACCGCTCTGCGTTGCTGTGTATCTGAATGGCAGAGAAATGAGTGGACAGGAGGCATAAGTTGTGCCTATGCCAGCAAATAGTGGCTGGGAGTTAATTTATTAGTATGGTGTCTGGTTCCTTGAGTGGGTCAAAAAGCTCTCTCCCAGCACCAAGGACTGTTCCCAATATGTAGTTTGAATGGGGCACAATTATTCTGTAGGGAAAGAAGTTTAATGCTATGGATGTGGCTGATCTGTAACAGCTGGTATCAGGGCTAGAGAACAGTCTCTGGCACTATTTAGCTTTGTGTGTAGAAGTAGCCATCATCTCTGGTCAGAGCACTCTTCTAGAAAACATGAGACAAGCTGAAGCTGATTGCAATAACAAACTCTTTTAGCTGCTTCCTAATATATATAGTGACGAGGTCACTCTTTTCCAAGGTGATGCTCTAGACGCTGGTCCTTGCTTTGAGGAATTTTCTGTATTGAAATTAAACAATTAGTGGAGAAGATGAAGAGAATGAATTCTTTCCCTCAACAGGCTGTAACTGTAGCTTAAGTCAATGTAGAGGCACAGTCTTCTGTGATCTTCTGGCTCAATTAATCATGATTTCCCTTTATTACACATTGAATGGCTCAACCAGAAATAAAGGACTGTGTCTTTATACCCATCCCCCTCCACTGGTGATTAAGGCACTTGAGTGGAAGGTGAGAAACAAGGATTTAGAATTTATTCATATTTGTGCATTTAACTCTGACAGATTGCCCTGAGGGGTAAGATGGAGGATGAGGCTGAAATTACTGGATGTTTAGGCCAAGATTATATTGATCAGTTTAAAAATACAGTATTCTGTGATTTGATTTAGGACAGAAGTCTGGATACAGGAGGCCTGTAGACAGACCTTTGAGTTATTTGTATAAGCAAGTACACTGTGAAAGCCATTTGTTATGGCAAATCCCACTTCTGGTGTGATGCTGCCAGAAATTTTCAGTCTTGTCTATTGAGAAAGGATGGTTGATGGCTACTGCCTTCCCAGACATCAAATACTCCAAGGTAAACAGTGCTTATACTCAGAATAATATAGGTACCAAAGGAAAAGGTTTCCCTGCTTTGCTCCTTCTGTGTACCCTCCTTGAGCATTTCATGTACAAAGTTGTGGTGGTGTGTTGCTGTGATTTTTCATCCATCTTGTCTTCTGCTTTACCTTATAAATAATCAGTACAGCTTTGAAACCAGCCGAAGGAGGTTTTGTGGGTGCTACTGTCTAGAAACTTGACCAACTAATTAATTGTCGTGAATTGTGCTGTGCTCTTGCCCTCTTTGTAGGATTATTCTGGGGCTGAGGAGGGCAGTGCTGAAGTACTTTAATCTTCAATTCCTATCTCTCTTAAAGAAACAAACCAACACCAAAACAAAATGATGAAAAGAATTCTTAGAATTTGTACCTTTCTTATCAGCCGGTTCTATTTAGAGGTTTCTTTGGCTAGGACCTATCTTTTACTGAGGCAGTGTTATTATCTCTTTTGCATTAAAACTGAATCTTTACAAAGGAATTAAACTTGCTCCTGCTGTTCTGTCAGTGAAGGAGATAGTCTTCTCTTCAATGATCTGTGGAAATTGGTCTGTGGAAACCAAGGAGGCTAATAGAGCCCCTAAAGTCCGAGTTATTGCCTGAAAGAGATCTTGGCAAAGAAGAGCACTTGGTCTTCAGTGTGAAGACCATTAACCTACTGCACGAAAGTTGCTTAAGTACCTGAAAATTCTTGTTATAGACGTTATTACCTTGATCACACAAAATGGGAAATAAGCTGAACTGCTGTTTTAAGTGCAGAACAACTGCAGTTCTGTTTAAAATACGAGTGAATAAGCAGTGATACTCCTGACCTGCTAGAGAGGAAAACATTTTAGTTTGATTTTTCTGTTAGAACTTGACACATGGTTCAATAAAATGTTAATAACTCCTCCAGGGTACAGTGTAACCAACCTAAAAGTCTAGAAGTACTGCAAGGGTACTGCATAGGTCAGTCACCTGTACTTCACATGGATGCATTTTTAACAGCATGTTCTCTATGTCACGTTCCAGACTAATTTTTGAACTAGCCTGTTTTTAATTAATTTCCAGGAGTGAAAACAAACTCTTGGTAAACTGTCAGATTGTTGTTGGTATGCTAATAGGGCTGGTGGGATTTTACTCAAATAATCCAATGTGTTCAAGAGCTGCTGTAGCATTAGTGACCTTCTGACCCCCCAAACAGGAATATTCAAACTGAAGCTAAATTCCTGGGCTTTCCAGGAAATGTGTGGTGGTTAGATGCTTCATAAAGGGATTGTTGGGCACCAATGGAGTCAGAGAAGCAAAGCATCAGGAAATGCCAAAGGTAAATGGATACCTAATTCCGCATGTAACTCAGTTACAAACTCTCTATTGGAAAGATGGCTGGCTTGTCTCTCTCAGAGCATGGCAAGAGCAAACTGGAATTCACTGCAGCAAATTTGGCAACGGTCAAAGCTTTCCACCGTGGTATAGGAAACTTGCCAGAGGAATTTCCTAGGTACCATGAACTCTCACACCAGATGACTGCTCTGTCTTCTAGATTTATGGATTTGTATAAATAAAGTCTTCTCTCTCCTCCCACTTTTTTGTTATTGTTGTTGTACGGAGGGTTTTTTGTCATGTCAGAAATGCTGGACAACAGAAGAAAACTATTTGGCTCAGTCCACATAAAGGGAGAAAATGAGAGAATTATACTGGAGAAACAGGGAGACATCTCCTGTGATGTGAGAGACCAAGGTTTGTATCCCTGCTGCAGAGACAAGCTCTGTCCTCATGTTTTTAGTATTGTATGTGAGTAAGCACAGGTTTAGCTGGATTGGAGAGAAAATACTGGAATACTAGAAAATCAAAAATGTCTCATGATGTCACATGCATTGGCCTAAATTTCTGTCCCACATAGTCTTGCTGTTTTTCATCCTGGTTGTGGGTATTTTAGATACTAGATGCTGCTTACTATCCTGTTTGAGTCTGCCACTCCTGTTTTCTCACACAGATCCCTCAAGTGGCACTTGTCATGGAACAAATGATGACTGTGGGAAAATGGAGGTCTTGGGAGGTGCATGGAACAACCTTTGTGGGCCTATAAATGTTTTTCTGAATTTGAAAAAAACATTTGCCATAAATAACTTGCCACAGATATATATTTAGGCATGGGACTTACACAAATGGATGGATACTTTGCCCACATACTTATTTACAAATGGTTAACAAAGCCAACAAAATGTTTAAATTGGATGTACAGGTTTGGGTATTTTTTCAGGTTTAGATACCTGAAGGAAATATCCACTACTAAGATAGCTACAGCAGTCCAATAAGTGGGTTTAGATTGTGTGTTCTTAATTGTCTCTTAGAATCGAGATCTAATTTTAAAAGCTATTCTACAAATCAATATACTAATAAAACCAGAAGAGTCTCCAAACTCTTTCTCGATCTTGGGTGTTCATGAACTGGACTTTAACAGCCCGCAGTGCTGATTCTCTTAAGCATTTGATTACAAAGTAGGCAGTGCTCTCTATGCAAAAGCTGTTTTCTCAGACAGATAAATTACCAGGCTAAAATACTGGTACACTTATTCCGACATTAATTTAAATTATTGCTTCTAAAAATGGTGCATCTGTCCAAAGCTGTGAAACATCTGGTTTCTTTTCTTGCAAATGTTCATGGGCAAAATAAGTTACGTATAACTGTAGTATTACCTACATCTATCCTGGCTTGCTGATTTTTATGCTGTTCTACATGAAATTGCACATAGTTCTTCAGCTTCATTTCAGTAGCATAAAAGAAAAATATTTAAGAGCTCTTTAGGTATTTAAGCTCTTTAGGGGCTAAAAGGAGGGGTAGACTTGTGGGTAAATCATGGGTCAGAGAATTGTTCACTTGGCTGTAGCCTTCCTGTGTTACTGTGAACAAATTGAATAGTTCAAACACTCTTTTCAGTTGGGACTTCAGTAATATTGCTTCCTTTTTGTCTTCCCCATCTCTTAGAGGGTCCATACAAGATACACAGATGCCAGGATCTAGGCAGGCTACAAATTAGCCTATTGCTGCTGCTGTTCCTTTTCTGGTATAACTGTTCATCATTTAAGATTTCTTCAGGCAAAACCTTTTGAACCTATGGACATGGTGTAGCCTGTTGGAATTGTGTTCTCTTTTCTTTGCCTATGCCTGGAGAACATACCTGTGTAAACAGTGAAAAATTATCTTTATTTTGTAGTAGTGGCATGGTCTTTGCCTCTGGGAGAAGTTATTCTCACTAGGGGAACTTTTTACCTATACTATGAGATTAGCATGTAAATTGGTTATCTATTCCTTTTTTATCTTTTTTTCATCTCTCTCCTTTAGAAAGACATGTAATTTCCTATCCTACCAATGTAATTCAGAATAAAGGAAATAGAAGATTGCTATGATATCCTCAACCTTTTTGGTTTTTTTTAATGTAAATTTAGAAATATAAATGATTAATGAATTAAAAATGATGTCATACAGGAGGACCCTCCATCTCTAGAAGTGCAATGTATATAACCTTCATTCTAATTTTAGGTGAAATTGAAACTTTTGATCAGTCAAACTTTGGGACCTTATGAATGATCTTTTAGAAGTTTTACAGTCTTAAAGGACACCCTATTTCATGGCACGCAGAGGAAACAGGAAGGACTTGCTTTGTTTCTAACTGAAATCCCCTTCTACTTGATAGGAATTTGCACAAAAGATTTTTTGTTAAGGTCATAGTATCGAGTACCTAGCCTTTATTTCTTTTCCTGTTATATTTCTCCTATTTTTTTCCTCCCTCCTCAAGCAAACATATATTAAAAATCAGAACAAAAATTCAGACAGAACCTTGTTCTAAACTGTTCACATGAGACTTGCTGACGTAAGAATGACATAGCTGCCTTTAGAATGTTGTTTCATTTAAAGATCTTTTAAGTGAAGAGCAGCAGTAATGTCTGTGAATTGGAGGTATTGCCCAATTTATAATATTTCTAAATTTTCCTTTAATCCTTCTGTAAGAAGGGTATGGTCTCAACTATGCTTTTCCACAGCACACTGCTTTTACTGAAGCCTGCCTACAATGATTTCCTTGCTGGTTTCAAGGGAGGTAAGAAGAGTCGTTAAGAATATCAGCAGTTGTAATTTACTTCTACCCATTTAAATTCTGAGGTCCTTCTGGGGTTTTCATAGACTTAAAAGGAAAATGCTATTACTCTGCTCTGATTCAGATTTGCAGCATGAAACCGTCACTCCACTTATACACTCCACACATTGCATTTTACAGCCATTGTCTTGATTACTGAGCTGCAATTGATTCACTAGACAGCAAATTGAAAAATTATCTCTAGGCTTCTCTGTAAAATTACCTCTGATATCAGGTGCATTAGACAGTGCTTTAGTACTAACAGAAGGCTATCAGGCTGTCGCCTTCTCTGCCAGCTAACTCTGAGTGCTAAGAGAAAATTAAAGTCCAGGCTTAGAAGCTACAGCCACTGACAGGCTCCCTCCAAACAACGGCAAAATATGGGATAGCAGATTGAGGAGAGAAACACTCACCTTACTGTATTCAAGCAACCTGGGTGCTTAATTGGCCTTATAAATAATGGTGATTAAAGATCTCTCATGCCAAAGTTGATTAGAAAGAGCAATCAACTCTTTTTTATTTTGGCATCTGTGGGTTGCATACGTGTCTTCTGTAGTGAACTGTTACTTACGTGCCTTTGTTATCTTCTTTGGGAGTAAGAGTCACACCATAAAACTCAGCAATAGTTTTAGAGCAGAGGAAATACAGTAGTCTTTCACACTGTATGTTGAAGATGGAGGCCTCATTGCTACAGATGTTGTAGAACCTAAATGTACAAATAATTTTGGATAAAAGTACAAATAATTTTGGTTGGGGCTTTTTTAAATATATACATGGAAGATAGGAGGTTGCGATCAGATTTTTGGACTACAGGAAGCAATGTACTCAACTGTCATAACCAGGTCTGTGCAGATTTCTGAATAAGGGTGTACTTGAATCAAAAAACTGAGACAAGGAAAAATAAGCTGAAGTGTAACAATAGAAACCTTGCTAAGGAAGATGCCATCTGGATTTTCAAGAGGAGTTTCAATGCTGAAAAGGATGAAAGCTGAACTGGAGAAAATTAGATAGTGATAGAAAAATGGCACTGAGGTAGTAGTTGAAGATAGACAGTAAGCAGGATAGAATTTCTTTCAGTTTGGTCTCTGCTAAGACCTTTTTAAGAACAGTGGGAGCCTCAGGCATGCTTGAGCTGAGAGCCAGAGGGGAAGGAGTATAAAGTCAAGAGGCTGTCTTCATGCTGGTGGTGTACTTTATGGTTTAATTTGGAAAACCAATGTATTTGCAAGGAGAAAAAGTGAAGGAGCAGTTCTGGGTCAGAGGGCTAGGAAAGTTCTTGTCTTCTAAGAGCTATTTTGAAGCTGCTGTTGAGCAACAGGAGGAGAAAAGCAATGTTTGCTTCTTTCTTAGGGTCAATGAATAGAGGCTCTTTTTATACAAGGGTGGGGTTTTTTCCTCTAGGAAAAAGGCTGTCACTGATGTAAGTGAAATTGTTGATTCTCTACTGTAGTAAATTTTATGTACCAGTGGGGATGGATGTTAATACACACATTACTCACATCTCATGGAGGCGTCTAAGGACTGTGATTTCAAGGT